AGAGAGAGAGAGAGAGAGAGAGAGAGAGAGAGAGAGAGAGAGAGAGAGAGAGAGAACGGGAATGAATTTTCATGATTATGGATGGATGGATGCGTTACGAACTTACCTTTGCTTATGATTTCTTGAGTTTGCATCGTGTCGATATGAGAAGTCTTCATAGCTTTAGGGATGCGGGTAAACCTATCGATTAACCTAGAACGTCTGCACAGGACGCTGATTCACTGTACCAGCCTCGTGGGCGTTCTACGACGAGTTTATCAAACTTGCACGAATTTCCTTTCAAATGCTATAGGATCGCGATACCTTTCGCGAATCCATCGTTTTTGGCTCTTGAAGTCTGCGATAACGTGCGGGGGTTTTGTATGTAGAATTAATAACATTTTATTTATGTAGATATAATATAATATAGACATAATACATATATATATATATATATATATTTATATTATATATATATATATTATGACTATATTATATATATATATATATATATATATATATATATATTATGTGGGGATTCTGTAGCATCCTATAACGTTTCTATAATGAGTCTCACTAGTGTGATGTGATGGGGTGGGTGGATAGCTGCTCTCCACACACGCGCGGAGAGAGAACTGCTTGTCTGAGTGACCGATAGAGCTTGCTGTTCCTGTATTATCCGTCCGACGGAAGTGGCAGTTAGTTAGACTGGTTACATCAGCCGTAGTTGATGCCCGGTCTCTCTCTCTCTCTCTCTCTCTCTCTCTCTCTCTCTCTCTCTCTCTCTCTCTCTCTCTCTTCCCAGCGCTGCCCCTTCCCAGCCTGCCACGCCTTCCCCCAGCATCCTCCACAGCCCCCCCAGCCTCGCACTCTCGCCCCGCGCTCCCCCTTCCCCAGCAGTGCTCCTCCCCCAGTATCCCTTCCCCAGCCTCCCCCTTCCCAGCCTCCCCTTCGCCCCAGCCTCCTTCCCCCGCCCTCCCCCCCTTCCCCCATCCTCGCCCCTTCCCCCCCAGCCTCCCCTTGCCCAGCACCCCCTCCCCAGCACCCCTCCGCCAGCCTCCTTCCCCAGGCCTCCCCCTCTCCCCAGCTCCCTCTCTCCCAGCCTCCCCCTTCCCCCATCCTCGTCCCTTTTCCCCAGCTCTCCCCCTCCCCCAGCCTTACCCTTTCCCCAGCATCCCTCCCACAGCCTCCCCCTTCCGCCCGCCCCCCTCCTCCCCAGTCTCCCCTTCCGCCAGCATCGCCCTCCCCAGTACCTTCCCCTCCAGCCTCGCCCCTTCCCCAGGCTCACCGCCTTGCCCCCAGCCTCGCCCCTTGCCCCCCAGCCTCCCCCCTTCCCCCAGCCCCCCTTCCTCCCCAGTCCTCCCCCTTCTCCCAGCCTCCCCCTTCCCCCATCCTCCCCGCTGCCCCCAAGCCTCCCGCCTTCCCCCCAGCCTCCCCCTTCCCCTCGCCTCCCCCCCCTTCCCCAGCCTCCCGCCTTCCCCCAGCATTCCCCCTGTCCCCAGCCTCCCCTTCCGCTCCCAGCCTCCCTTCGCCCCAGCCTCCTCCCTTCCGCCCAAGCCCCCCTTCCCCGCAGCTCCTTCCCCCCAGCCCCCAGCCCTCCCAGACTCTGCCCCCAGCCCTCCCCCTTCCCAGCCTCCCCCTCAGACGGACGCTACACTTAACGCGGTTTAGCGATGACTGAATGCTCCGCAGTAAGTTGCTTATCACCCAGGCGTTGCCGATCGCCATTATCAAGTCGAGTGAACGTTGGTTTTTCGCCACACGACCATGTGCCTTTATCACGTGCTCCGCGATATCTATTATATATATAATATATATAATAATATACTATATTGTATGTGTGTGTTGTGTGTGTGTGTGTGCTGTGATGTGTGGTGTGTGTGTGTGTGTGTGTCGTGTGTGTGTGTGTCGTTTGTACTGTGTGGTGTGGTGTGGTGGTGTTGTTGTGTGTGTGGTGCCTTGTGTGTTGTGTGTGTTTGTGTGGTGTGTGTGTGTGAGAAGAATTAGAGAGATACAGGCAAGAACGGCTTACGATTTTTCAAGTTTGATTGTTAAGAGTTTCACTAAAAACTTTCCGATTTTAAAAAGTTAATGATAAAACGTTTATTTGTTTTTTTATTTGAGAGTGATTGAAAATTTTACTTTCAAGTCATTTCACCATTAAAAACTTTTCAGATAAAAAAAAGAAAATGAAGAATAAAACGTTTTGTTTTATTAATTAGGAGTGAATACAAGAATTTCATTTTATACCCTCTTTGACATTGAAACATTTCCCCATAACCAAACAAATAAC